TTCTGCTGCATTCTCCGACAGTCTCCTTCACTATCTGCTACTCTACCAATCTTAGTGTCATCTGCAAGCTTGCTAATCAGACCATCTATGCCTTCCTCCAGATCATTTATGTATATCACAAACAACAGTGGTCCCAACACGGATCCCTATGGAACACCACTGGTCACAGTTCTCCATTTTGAGAAACTCCCTTCCACTACAACTCTGTCTCCTGTTGCCCAGCCAGTTCTCTATCCAGCTAGCTAGTACACCCTGGACGCCATGCAACTTCACTTTCTCCATCAGCCTTATCAAACGCCTTACTGAAGTCCATGTATATGACATCTACAGCCTAAGATCTAAGATACATAAAGTGTAAGAGAGTGGCAAGAGTGGATATTGGACCTCTGGAAAGTGAGGCTGGAGAAGTAGTAATGTGGGACAAAAAAATAGCAGAAGAATTGAATAGGTACTTTGCATCAGTTTTCACAGCGGAAGACACCAGGGAAGACCAGAACTTCAAGACAGTCAGGGGACAGGAGTGTCTGTAGTGGTCATCACTAAGGAGAAGGTGCTGGGGAAGCTGAAAGGTCTGAAGGTGGATAAATCACCCATTACCAGATGGATTATACCTGGAATTCTGAAGGAGAAAGCTGACAAAATTGTGGAAGAATTGGTGATCTTTCAGGAATCACTGGAGTCAGGGAAGGTGCAAGAGGACTGAAAAATGGCAAAGGTAGAATGCTTGTTTAAGAAGGGAGGGAGGCAGAAGACAGAAAATTAATAGCCAGTAAGCCTGACTTTGGTTGTTGGTAAGATTTTAGAGTCATTTATTTAGGATGAGATAGCGGAGTACTTGGAAGTGCATGATAAAATAGGGCTGAGTCAGTATGGCTTTGTTAAGGGGAGGTCATGCCTGACAAATCTGTTGGAATCCTTTGAGGAAGTAACAAGCAAGGTAGACAAAGGCGAGCCAGTGGACATGATCTGTTTGGATTTCCAGAAGGCCTTTGATAAAGTGCCGAACAGAAGGCTGCTAAATACCATAGCAGCCCTGGTAGAACTCCACAGGGGCCGGTATCTCATCACCAAGTCACCTTTATTTACATATGGAAAGTCCTTGACACTGATCCAACTCTGTCAGAGTCAGCTCTCAGTCTGACATTCCTGTTCTTATCTGTCAGCCAGAGCTCCCTGATTGGACCACATTAACAGCCTCAATCAGGGAACTCAGACTCTATGAGGTTCACCTGGCGGACCTCATTACAATCACTATATCCCTCCCCCTCTGAGTCCAAGGACATAGGCTGGTTCTTTTATTTTGTAGATCCTCCTGGGGTGTTTCAGATTCCTCCAATTCAGCCTCTGATACGGGCGGCATATAACGCACAGTAGCTTGCCTCTTGCGCCCAGAACATCTCATAAGAAATTCATTCTCTTCTTCAGGCGACAAAGGCATTGAGGTAGCAACATCCACTGTGTCCATCTAAGATTCCGAGGTATCTTCAACGCTTGACGGACAGAGAGAGCCACAGGTTCTGGCACAGTCGAAAAGGCGGTTCAGGAGCTGGGTACATTTTGCTCCCGCACTGTTTGTAAAACTGCAGCTTTCACATTGGTCCATGTGCTTGGTCAGGACTGTCGCACCTACCCAAACTTCATACGTCATTGAACCTGACCTCGCATCGACCATGCCTCTTATCCATGTAGGGCCATTCCCATGGTTCCTACACAAAATTTTGTTTCCTGAAGTAAACTGTGTCTCTCACTGTTTCACTCTCCCCAAGCAGAGTTCTGAGGAAGGGTCACCGGACACAAAACGTTAACTCTGTTTTCCCCTTCGCAGATGCTGCCAGACCTGCTGAGCTTGTAACGTTTCAATTCTGGTTGTTATGGCCCTTTGGTTTCCCCCGTTACCACCAGCTGTTTCAGTTTTGCCAAGCCCAGATCCTTCAATGTCCTAAGTCTGATATTATCAGCTGTGACTGGAAGGGTGTTCTGAAAATTTCACCTCAGGGTGACGGGATGACTCTTTAGGACTGAAATGAGGAGGAATTTCTTCATCCAGAGTTGGTGAATCTGTGGAACTTATTGGCGCAGAAGTGTGTGGAGGCCAACTGCTCCACACACAAACACAGGAACCCCACCCCCCTGCCCCAACGCCGCCCAAATCCTGTCCGCAGTTTGAAAAATCAGATCACAATGCTGTGTTCCTCCTCCTGGCTTACAAGCAGACATTGAAGCATGAGCACCCAATACAGAGAGTAATGCACTGTAGTCCACTGGACTGCTTAGAGTTAGTGGGCTGGTCTGTTTTCAGAAACTCAGTGGCCAACCTAAACAAGTATGCCACTACCATCACAGACTTCATTAGAAAGTGTGTAGAAGACTGCATGCCAACGAAGTTATTCCGAATGTTCCCCAACTGGAAACCATGGATGAACTGAGAGATCCACTCCCTACTGAAATCGGGCAACCCCGATTTATGCAAGAAACCCAGGTATGATCTTCTTAGGCCATTAGCGACGCAAAGAGGCAATACCAAACTAAGCTTGAGACTCAGACTAAGCTTGAGACATACACCCGTCACTTGTGGCAAGGCTTACACAACATAACGGGCTACAAGCAAAGTCGAACAGAATTGTGGGTGACGGTACATTCCTACCTGATGAGCTCAATGCATTCTACACTCACTTTGAACAAGAAGGTCAGTGAAACGATGTCACCTCTCCCAAAAGCCTTGGATGCACCTGTAACCATGGTGATGGCAGCAGACCTCAGATTGGCCTTCATGAGAGTGAACCCATGGAAAGTGACTGGATGGAGTCCTCAGCCATGCACTCAGATCCTGTGCGGACCAGCTGGCAGGAGTATTCACAGACATCTTTAACCTGTCCTCACTATGATATGAAGCCCCCACCTGCTTCAAGAAGATCTCATCATCCCAGTTCCAAACAAAAATCTGTTTTCTTCAGTTTTGATCTCTACAGGTTATCTATATGGGGTCCAATTCTATATGTTTATTGATTGCATATCTGGTTGAGGACCATGCCACTAGGAATTCCTTCCGTGTGTATGTTTGGCTTGGGCTACTATAGTTATGTTGCCCCAGTTAAACTGATGGCCTTCATTGTCCAAGTGTATTGATATTAAGGAAAGTTTGTCATGCCGTTTTGCTGCTAGCTGATGTTCATGTATTCTGATGGCTAGTTTCCTTCCTGTCTGTCCGATGTAATGAAAACAACAATCCACTTCAATTTGTGGGCATCAGAGTTGAGCGTATGACTAACGGGGAGTTCCAAACCTCAGTATACAGAAAAGCAACCTACACTGATCAAATCCTCAACTTCCAGAGTAGCCACCTCAACGTCCACAAACAAAGATGCATTAGGACACTATTTAAACGGGCCAGGACACACTGTAGCACTCCAGAACTTCGCAGAAAACAGGAAGAGCACCTATACAAAATCCTCGCTATGAACGGATATCCCCGCAACTCATCTGCAGATGCCTACTAAACAGACAACAACAGGAGGACACAGTACACCCTAACACATTGGCCACACTGCCCTATATCAAGACCATCTCAGAACTGACAACAAGACTCCTAAGACCATTAGGAATCATGGTGGCACACAAGCCCACAGCCACTCTATGACAAACACTCACAAGGATTAAAGACTCCATTCCCAGAACATACAGAACCAATGTGGTTTACAAAATACCATGCAACAACTGCCACAAACATTACATCGGATAGACAGGAAGGAAACTAACCAACAGAATACATCAATATCAGCTAGCAGCAAAACAGCACAACAAACTTTCCTTAATATCAGTGCACTCAGGCTTTGAAGGCCATCAGTTTAACTGGGACAACGTAACCATAGTAGCCCAAGCCAAACATAGGCATGCACGGGAATTCCTAGAGGCATGGTTCTCAACCCATAATGCAATCAACAAACATATAGAATTGGACCCCACGTAAAAACCCATACAGATCAAAACCAGAAATGACACTACTCACCATAACGGACCAGACAGTATAAATTCCAAGCAGAGTAGAACAACATTGCTTCATTGGAGGCCTCACTGATGATGTTACCTAACATGGTGACATAACTTCTGAACAAAAATAAGCCAGCTTGGCAAACAAGTCAACAACTTCATTCTGTCCAATTTTCTGACCTACCAATAATCTTTGCAGAATTGTGCGCACTTTCTTTTAATTTGACATTGTCTTTAACTTTCTTAGTCACGAATGATATATCCTTCTCCTTAAGTCTTTATTTTGCGTTGGAATATATCTTTGGGTGTTATGAAATATCTCCTTAAATGTCTGTCACTGTATTTTTAATGGCTTACCCATTTACCTAATTTCCCAATTCATTGTAGCTAGCTCTGTCTTCATACCCTTGTAATTGTCTTTATTTAAGTTTAAAACACTAGTCATTGACACACCCTTCACTCCCTCAAACCAAATGTGAAATTCAGTCATGTTAAGAGCACAACTACCTAGGGGCTCCTTTACCATATGGTCATTAATTAATCCCGTCTCACTGAACATTAGCAGGCCCAGAATAGCATGCGTGGCTAAAATATGCTGCTCTAGGAAATTAGCAAAAAAAACACGTTGAACTCATCCTTCAGCTACCTTTGCTAAGCTGTTTCAACCAATCTGTCTGTAGTTTAAAACGATCCATGATTATTGCAGTACCATGCTTACAAACCCCATTTATTTCTTCCTGTATGCTCCAACATAGTGTAATTACTATTTGGGGATCTATAAACTACCCATACAAGTGACTTCTTACCTTGTTACTTCTTATCTGTATCCAAAACTGATTTTACATCTTGATTTTTAGAACTAGGATATCTCTCGCTATTTTACTAATGTCATCCTGAAGTAACAGAGATCACCACACCTTTTCTTAGCTTTTTGTCCTTCCAAAATTTGATGTACGTTGAATACTCGGGTCGCACCTTTGTCATCCGCATTTATCATGTTGGCAAGTTCTTACCTCTCTCCTTGACTGTGGGCTGATGCATCAGAATCCGTTTAGTAGGTACAGAAGGCAACTGTGAGAAGAAAAATTCACAGAAAGGTTACCAAAAATTCTATTCCACTGCATGTACCATGTGTATTAAAGCAGGATTCACATACAGCACCAGAAGGAAGATACTTTATGAGGTTTCCAAAGTAATGCAACACTTCCAGCCCATTTCTCCAAACACACTTTACAAAGGCAGGCAACTGGCAACTGTTCCTCAATCATTTCTAGTGTCCTTTTCCCAGTGAGTGCCAAGGAAGTTCTTTCCTCTACAGTTGCCGCTTGCTGCTAAGCAATGTTAATCAATCCAAAAAATGCATAACTGAGATATCCCATCTTGAAGCTTTCATAAAGATTAAGGCAATGGAAGACTAGCCTGTGAATCATTGATATGCATTATTGAAGTCCATTTTTGACCATTAAATGTAATGGCAGAATTAGGGCATTCTACTCTGCTATTCAATGAGATTATGATTGATCTGGTAATCCTCAATTCTACTTTTCTGCCTTTTCCCTATAATCCTCAATTCCCTTACTGATTAGAAATCTTTAAATCTTAGTCTTGAATATTCTTAATGACTCAGCCTTGACAGCCCTCTGCAGTAAAAAATTCCACAGATTCATTCCCCTCGGGAGAGAAGAAATTCCTCCTCACCTCTACCTCAAATGGGTGACTCCTTATTCTGAATATTAAATATTTTCAAATAACAATATTTTCAAATAATTTGACAGTGAGGCTTTTTTATTGCAGTTTCTCCCAGACATTGGCACAAAAAACTGCCCTTAATTCACTTCCCTCCTCAGGGTTGATTAGTTGTTGGTTGCATAGTGGTTATGCTACTAGACTAGTAATCATGAAGCCAGAACTCATCACTGTCCCTTGATTCAAGGATGATGTCTATGCTAGGTTGACAGTTTTCACCATGGGTCTTCACGTGACCAAATAAGTCAGATTCCGTATACCATAGCAGGGCTGGTGGAGTGATTAGGTCTATGGTGGAGGTGGGATCAGATTCTGATGTTGTACCTGCCAGGAATACCTGAGATCAATGTAAATCCACAGTACCCCAATAAAAATGTACTATTTCGCACTCCCAATCCTGGCATAACTTACTCTCAGACTGTCACATTATCATCAGCAGCCTCTCAGTTCCAGAATGATGTCTACTCAAGACTGTGTGGGTCTTCATGTGACTGAAGTGGCCAATTCACTGCCCACAAATCCTTGGGCACACGGCGCAGGGCATCCCATGAGGTTATGAATCCAAAGTGTAGGATTTGCTTCCTTTCCTGCCTCATCATTAACTTTAGACTCAAAGCATGCTGCAACTTGACGGACACGTTGTCACCATTCTGAATAATTTTGTGGTGAGCACTTTGCAGCCATTAATGCCAATTCTGTCATGCTTTAGGGAAAGCTTCAGAGAGCCTCTGCAATGTTTTCTTTGTCCACCCTGGAACGCTGAAAAAGTTGAGAAAATGGGACCCAGCCTCCCAGACAGTGTCCAGTTCATTGAACCTGGTTTTTGCTTGAGTTTTGCTTGAATGCATGCAGAGCTGGCTTCAAGAAGAACTGTAATGTTTGTTTAGTGGTTCACCCAGTGTGTCCAAGGAGGCGTTGCTGGTGAAATTTCTGTAGTGCTTTTTGGTGATACGAAGTCCAGGTCTCACTGCAATACAGGTGTGTGGTGACAATACCCGCTTTGTATGCTGCTCTGTTGAGTTGCAGAGGTCTTTGTTGTCAAATATTCACTGGCGCAGTTTGTAAAAGGCTAAGTTGGCACAGCTGATCCAGTGTTGGATCTCGTCAGTTGGGACTTTTCGACAGAGGTGGGTGCCAAAATGAGGAAAGAGCTCAACTTATTCCAGAGTCCCTCCTTCAGAATATATAGGAGGTAGAATATTTGACTGACCTGATCTCAGTTGTTACCAGTTTTGTTTTAACAACATTCAAAGACTGGCTGGGTCTCTTATGCAGAATTGAAGAGATTATAATTACTTAAAAATCAAGTGCAGAGAGGGTCTAACAATACTGCAGTCATCCAAGTACTGTAGATCATGTGTATCTATAGTTGGTTTAGTTTTAACATGGAAGCAACTGAATTTAAACAGCTTTCTATTCAGATGGTATTCAACAATCACACCAGCTGCTTTTTCATGAAGAGAATAACCACTTTCAGCTAGATTGAAAATACTTTGGGGAATGGATAGGAAGGGTTTAGAGGGATGTAGCCAAATGCTGGCAAATGGGACTAGATTAATTTAGGATATCTGGTCGCCACAGATAAAGTGGACCAAAGGTTCTCTTTCTGTGCCGTACAACTCTATGACTTTATCAAATAACCTTGCTTGACACTGGACACAACTATTTCAGATCTCCCTCTCAAGACAGTTGCAGTCACATCATGAAGCTGCTGCAGGATTCTGAAAAAATTTCTTGGACATCAAAGTATCTAGACAGCAATCCATTAACCCTTGTGATTTATTGAAATGGAATGACGAATCAGATTAAGAATTCCTCCTGCTGTTCACAACAGTTTTGTGGTATTGACCGACAACAAAGACAGTGTTATAGGTTTTCTGGAAGGTCTAAGTCCACAGTGTCTCTTGCATTAACTTACCTAATGTTACTACTCCCAGCCTGAAATTGGCTCGATAGATTTTTTTTTAAAATGTGGCAGTCTTGCATTGAAACAAACACACATGATTGCAGACTTGGTTACAGCAATAAAACAGAAGTTTATTACACAAAATAAATCAAAATAAGATAGACCAATCTATCTAAACATAATGCAGTTTGAAAGATTTCAAAACACATGGCAAAACAAAATCCCATTTATTTCCCAAAACTATCACTTTACAGTTATTCAAAAATCCAGGGGAATTTTCCTTCCCTGTAAAATCTGTCAATTTCACTTAACTGTTTCTTCTCAGTTCTGGTCCCATTAGTTGAGAGACCTTTTCGTTGACCTCTCACACAGTTGAGAGGTTATATTTCCTCAGTCTTTAAATAACCTGCAGTGTTCTAATCAAATACTCCTGGTCTGGAACTTTCACAAACAACACTCTTTCACTGAGAGATAGCAGGAACTGCCGATGCTGGAGAATCTGAGATAACAAGGTGTAGAGCTGGATGAACACAGCAGGTGTTTCTCTGAGTTATGTCTTTTCTTAAATGCAAAGACCAGTATCCTTATCTACCAGAGACTGTAATTGCTAGTCAGGCCTCCATCTAACGGCCCAAAAGCTTTTGAACTAGATTTTTAAAAACTTACGCATCTTAGATTCGCTAAACTCAATGCTTTTTTTTTCTCTCCTGTTGTAACCCCACAGGTCTCTCTGACCAAATGCATTTTAACCCCCTTCACAAAAATAGACCAAAGCCCATATGCCAATATTTGAAATCCAAACTCTTAAAACAATATCATATAGAAATCACACATCTTTCATCACAACATTAAGTGGAAAATTCAGAATAATGTGACGAGTACGTTCCTTGTAAGGAACAACAGTGAAAAAAAAGTGTTCGTATGTGCAAAAGCCTACCAGCTTTAAAAACCTCAGCTGCAAAAGACACCAGTTGTGCAAGCCGGAACTAATTAGCCAGAGACTCCCAGAACAACACCTGGGAAGTATAAATTCAAGTAACTAAATAAATTTGAAGTATTTTTACATATACAGAATTATAACTCTAAAATTTAGAGCGTGCTGGTAATTATGTCCAACTCCATGAAACAAACCAAAAGTAATCTCTTATAGGAAGGATGTTGTGAAACTAGAAATGATTCAGAAAAGATTTACAAAGATGTTGCCAGGGTTGGAGGGTTTGAGCTCCAGGGAAGGGCTGAATAGGCTGGGACTATTTTCCTTGCAGCATCGAAGGCTGAGGGGTGACCTTATAGAGGTTTATAAAAGCTTGAGGGGCATGGATAGGAGGAAGAGTCAAGGTCTTTTTCCTAGGATGGGAGAGTCCAAAAGTAGAGGGCATAGGTTTAAGGTGAGAGGGAAAAGATTTAAAAGACCTATGGGGCAACATTTTCATGCAGAGGTGGTACGGGTGTGGAATGAGCTGCCAGAAGAAGTGGTGAAGGCTGGTACAATTACAACATTTAAAAGGCATCTGGATGGGTATATGAATAGGAAGGGTTTAGAGGGATATGGGCCAAATGCTGGCAAATGGGACTAGATTAATTTAGGATATCTGGTCAGCATGGCTGAGTTGGACTGAAGGGTCTGTTTCCGTGCTTTGTATCTCTATGACTCTAATCACCAAAACTATAAGTAATCAACAGAATGGTCAATTTGTTTCTCTTTGCTACTATAATCCAGATGAAGAGACTTTCACCAGATCTCTTCAATTATCTCAAAAATATTTTGTTTATTAGAAACAAAGTTATTCTTTAAACAAGTGGTTAAGATGGTTAACAACTAAGGCTCTATTTAGAAGTTATCTATACACCCTTTCAGAGTTTAGAAGAAGTTAACAATTGAAACAGAAACTTTAGTTAAGAGGCTTTTGCTGGGAATTGCCTCAAAATCAGTCTGTCCAGCAATTACAGGCCATAAAACCCATTTCTTGCCTCAGTTGTCCATTTGTCATTTGTTCTTTGTTCACTCATCATACAAAATCTGTACAGTTTATGGTCACCTTCCTAAATCTCCAAACTACAATTTAGTCCTCCATTAATGCAGTTTTGATTAACATGTTTTTGCTGTAACACAGTTTGTACTCCACTATCCATCATTGCAATACTGTGTGCCTGATTCTTGATAACATGGTTTTTACCCGACTCTGAACAGTATGTAGGAATAAGTGCATACCAAGCCTCAGCATTCCTGGGCAAGTCACTGTTCATTCAGTTTGTTTTGATCATTGCCTGCCTGAGCAACATCTCCATCTATTGTAGCCCTAAGCAGGTGTGTAACACGGACAAAACAGGATAATATTGGAAAAGAAAGCCTTTGAGGACTTACGTAATTGCTGAGGAGAAGACTTCATCAGGATTTAAGGTAGCATCTTGCTCTTTG